CATGTACAGCCTGGCTGTCATCACATTCACCAAGTCTTTCCAGTTCACAGATCCTCCTTCCAAATCCTTGTTTATCAATCTCTCGTGTGGCTTTCAAGCACGGAACAGACACATAGACAAGCACATGGATTTTGAGGAAGCTATGACACTTGAAGGGTTTTCTGATCACGTGATAGCCTACGTTGATTTTGATCGAAAGGAATCCTGGATGAATATCTGGTTTTACTGGTTATTTTCCGCGTTACTGATGAGCTGGTTGTTTCGATGGATGCTTAAAAGAAGAACTTTGACAAGTGAATTAAAGATYGTCAAAGAAATACAAGTTGTTTTATAAACTGCCGTTAATGTCTACAATAGTATTTCAACTCATGATGAAGTGAATCATTTAAGACTGGCCTACCGCCTTGTACCTCGAATATTTGTTGGGTTTCAAWTTTCAATCAGCTGATAAAAGTCTTTAAACTACCTTATCTACTCCAAATGGTTGTTAAACACTGCCAACCAGGACTATCTACCAGAAAAGATGTTCGTACTGCATGATATTCAGCTGGTACACATTCTGCGTGCATAAGACAGGAAACAACGTCAAMTAAACCCCAACATTAGAATAAGGAAATAATAAGTCGTCTAGTGAGTTGATTCAGCAGATAAGTTAAGAAAAGTAATCGAGATGTGTGTGTGTGCGACAGAACAAAACAGGGGGACAAAACAAAAAAGAAAAAGAAAAAAAAAGAGGGAAAAAAAGGAAAAAGAGGGAAAAAAAGGAAAAAAAAGAAAATGCCTTACAGTTTATGTTTCTCTAAGCCGTAAAAATAAAACTGATAGTTTGTTTCTGTTGCGTTGCTTCCTTGTTAATACAAGAAAATCATAAATTTCTTACTTTTCCCTGGACTGTCTTTAAATTTGCCCTCACCCCTAATTCAATATTATATGTAATGATTCAAATTAAGTTAATGGTTGAATGATAAAAGATTCTTATATGATTTGAATGAGACAACTTGAAGATATCAAGGGGGTTCTTCCAATCTGCTAATGAGTGTAACGTCACTTAGGCTTTATGGAAAGTAAAACATCCTCGCGTATAAAATACCATTGTCTTA